TTTCTTCCTGGGCTGCTCACTAAGCAAACTGGTTTACCTGAATTCTCTCCTCCGGATCCTGACAAGTTATCTCTATTGTTGTCTCTGCTGTTATCTCGACTGGAAAACTCCACTTCCTCTTCCCTGGGTCTCTAACGTCATGCCTCAGTTTAGAGGCTTTTGCCTTCAGGGAGATAGTTTCTCTAGTCTGTGTTAGGAGCTCCTTGGGAGTCCTGTAACTCACTATCTTTCCTCCATGAAACTACACTGTGCTTTCACAACTTCAACTGAGAATTTTTTTTTTTCAAAGAAAAACCTTGTTATTGGGGTTGGGAGTATAGCTCAGTGGTAGAGTGGTTGCCTAGCACAGGCAAAGATCTAGCTTCTGTCCTCAACACAGAAAGAGAAAAGAAAAATCTTGTGATGAACTCCAACATAGTATCTAAAACACAAGTCCAGACAAATGTATGAGGATGTTCTCCTGACAAAGAGGTGGAAAACTAGAGTTACATGTTTAGCAGCCTTGGTACTAGTGTACTGAGTTAGAAGATTACTTTTTTTTTTTTTTAGCTTGCCCTCAGATATTCATGCCTGCTATGCAGATGCTCTTCCATTTGCGCCACAACTCCAGCACTTTTTGCTCTGGTTATTTTTGAGATAGAGTCTTGAACTTTTTCAGGGGTAGCCTGGACCATGTTCCATGAAGTATACTTCCTGTCATAGATGGGGTGATAGATACTATTTGCCTGGGTTTGCTTGGAACCACCGTATTTCTGATCTAAGCCTCCCTTGTAGCTAGATGACAGACATATTGTCTAGAATTTTCACACTATGCAAAGCACCCAAGAAGTCAAGTGCAATTCTTGTTAATGATCACATTGGTCTACATAGTTGTAGACAACTATCTCTATATTGTCCACTGGACTATATCTTCCAAGATGGCAGAACTTTCTATTGTACCAGGTGACTAAGCATCTAGCAAAAGACATGGTGGACACTACAGAAGAAGGAAATAATAAATAAATAACCACTACACTAGAGCTCAGTTTCAGAGTTCAGGATAAAGAACTGCTATGTTACCTTTCATGTTTGTAAGATAGACCTTTTGTGAAAGGTCAATGTCACACTTAAATGGTCAGCACAGATGAGCTGGAAACAGCTTGTAACTGGTTTTACTAAAAGGTTTTCCAATTTTAAACAAAAAGAAATGCTTTTATCCCATTATTCAAGAACTGCCTTCTGACACTAACTAGATCAATTTCACAATGGAGAGTCAAGAGTATTTTCCAGAAAGGAGATGATTTGCACTATGACTCAGCTCTCAAGGACAAAGGCAGAAAGAGATCCACATGTCCTTCCCAGGTTGGAATTGTGGGCTGTGAAGCCAGAGACCTGTATGACAGCATGCTTAAGTTCTTGCTGGCCAGAACTGATGACTGGCTCCGGGGTTCTGTTCATCCTCTGACTCTTATTGCTCTGAAATAATGTGGTTTCACTTTCATTTAATGAAGGCTAAAATCTTGTAGACAAATCTCACTGTCATTCAATGACATTCATTAATTCAGAAACTAACGGTTTCCTGTAATACACAGCATTCCGACACCTGGTAAAACCCTCTCTTCAAAATGAACCTGGATGAATAATGGATAATGATGGCTCATGCATGTAATCCTAGCTACTCAGGAGATCTGAGGATTGTGGTTCAAAGCCAGCCCAGGCAGGAAAAATCTGTTAATCTCCAATTAACCACCAGAAAACTGGAAGTGGAGCTGTGGCTCAAAGTGGTAGAATGTTAGCCTTGAGTGAAAGAGCTCAGAAACAGACCCCGAGTTCAATCCCTAGGATCAACCAAAAACAGAACCTCCATTAAATATTATCACCTACATTGGCCATATTGTATTTAAAATAAGTAAATAGTAGTGTCACTGAGTTGCTACCTTTACACTTCTGGACCCACACTCTGAATAGTAACATCTGCTGTGGCCAATTAGTGTCACCAAAGCACAACTGCAAAGGCATTAAAATAAGAAGATGTAGCTGTTACTGCTAAATCAAGATTTTTCTCTCAGAGACAGAAAGTAAAACCAGTATGAAACAAGAATGATGATGAACACTTAATTACTGAAAATTATTATATTTTAAGCTTTCTTAGCTATAGAAGATCTCATTTCCTCCTGGAAGCAAGGGCAAAATTCAACTACTTTGCTCTATTGGGCTGCCTTCAGCTATTCTGCCAGATGAAAAGGTCTCTTGGGAGATGTCAGTTTGTAGCAAGGACACATCATGATGGAAAATTTTAGAAGAGTAGGAGATGACACCATATACCCTCCTATGACAGTAGGTATTCCATTTACATCAGTAACACTGCTTTCATATCATGTCATCTCTTAGCTACTCTGGGGATCTGGAGCCATTAAGCATAGTGTTTAGTGTCAGACTACACAGAATCCCACACACTCACCCTCATGCTCTTTTTACTGAACACCTGCCAATACTGTTCCATTCTTGACTACAACCCAACAGTGGGTAACAACCAACCTGGCTATCAGGAGCAACTGTATTACACAAAGAATGCTTTGTTGTCACCTCCTACATTCTTCTTTTTTGGTGGCTAGAGTGGAACTTGAACTTGGGGCCTTACAACTCTCACTTGGCTCCCCTGCTTCCCCCCCCCCCCCACAGGTGGTTCTCTACCACTTGAGACATACTTTCACTTCTGGCTTTTTTGCTGGTAATCTGGAGATAAGAACCTCAAGGAGTTGTCTACCCAGGCTGGCTTCAACTCCAGGCTCTCACATCTCAGCCTCTTGAGTAGCTAGGAGGATAGGTGTGAACCACTGGCATCTTGTCTTAACGTCTGAGAACCAAATCTTCTAACAGTCCCAACTTAATGTTTAGAGATTTTCATTTTTCATCTTACCCTTGAAACTATTCCTTACACATGTTTACCTCATTCTTTCTTTTAATTATCTTGTTTTGTATGTATGTACATATGAAGGTAGTATGTAAACATGTATGCATGTATATATGTGTATTATTGGACTTGAACTGAGGACCTGGGCACTGTCGCTGAGCTCTTTAGGAAAATCTGGGACTCAATCTTACCTCTGTGGGTACATCATTGACTGTCCTGTCTTTTGGAATGCACATGCTTTAAGAAAAACCATGTCATTTCAATTTTTCTAAAACTACCACCATTATGAGCATTTATTATTACTATATGGAAAATGATTTTTGCATCTACCTTTCTGTCCTTCCCAGTCTAGTGTGTAAGAGGAGATTTCTACTCAGTAAAATATTGAGCAATCCCACCAAAATGTGTGTGTATTGAGCAAGTTCAAAACAACTTTATCTACAATATGAAGAAATAAGAAATCTAGAAGTATGTTAAAAAAAATTGATGAAACAAACCATTTATCACATATACTAGGTAGATGTATAGAGATTTAACAATACAAACTAAAATGGGTGATATGTCCCAAAGACAAAACTGGGAAAAATCCAGAAATGTTATTACTTGGTTTAAGTCAGAAGCCTGGGTTAATGGCCAATGGTTGCATTTTCTGTCCTTGACTTCTTGTAACTGATACTTGGCAGGCTAAGGATTACAAAATTATGGTTGTGAAGTCATGCAAATCACGAAGGGTATTTTACTCTATGCAGCAAAAAGGGCATATAAAGTACAAGCTTAGAAAATCTACCAGGAGAAGATCTGTACCTATAAGAAACATTATAGAGCAAAACAAATAAAAGTTTGATCTTGAGCCCAAAACCTTTTTGAAGTTTAGTAAGAAGTATCTATGCTTCAACTAACATGGAAGGTCATCAAAAATTCACTGCTGGACTATTTTATATAAAAACACAGTTCTAAAGTTTCTGTGAATTATCCTGCTACATAGTTTACCATTTCAAATTACAAGAACAGGCTGAAATCCAACCTCTACCTGTCATCAGAAAATATAACAAAGTTTCTATTTATTTCTTCCAACACTGAAAGTCTTTCAGTGAAGTCTAAATTAAGAACCTATCAAGAAAGACATACAACAGTCCAACATTATCAGTTTTGACTGTGAAACCATTAAGTACAGCTTAATGAGCTCCTTGAAGAATCTGTTAGAACTTTAATCAAGCAGGAGAGAAGGATCTAATGTAGAAAAACAAAAGCAAAACCCCAAACCCACAAACTGTGGGAAGTCCAGGTACACTGCAGTAAGAGTTGCAGTTGCTGAGGAGACCAGCAGGGAATGAAGACCAAAACAACTCCAGATGTTGATAGAGGCCCCAGAAGCAAATTAAGCAATTGAGTGTTTGGACCCAATGACCCAGATGTCCTCCAGATTAAAGGAACACAAACAAGCCTGCCTGAGACCTTGCTTAGGCTGTCTGGAGGTGTCAGGAGGTGTATTCTTGGCAAGCAGTTGCAAAAACCTTCCATGAAGGTCCTTCCACAGTACAGAGAACAGCCCAGAAGCCTGGTCTAGATTCCTGAGTGTCTAAGCCCTACAGCACTCCAATGGGGAAAAGTCACTTAAGAGACTTAAAAGGCAACACACTCATCTAAAACTATTAATATATATACTCGCTCAAATACAACTGCATTGCCAAAACTCAGCATTCTCCTCCCCCACTCCTGCCAAAATACATTTTAAACAATAAATCACTCTATCAACTCCGGCACCTAACCCCAACCTGGTCTCTGCCAGTTGCTCCTCCAAAAGGTTAAAAGCCTGACCAAAGGGTGGCGCAGCGGCAACCTTCGCCAACCGTAGAAGCTGGGGTCCTGGCGTCCAACCTATTGTGCAGAGGGTTCTCTAAGCTTCAGTCCCCCTGGAAGGAGGGGACTCTCAGGACTGGGGACCAGCAGAAAACCTCCCCTCCCCAACCCAGCGCGTTCAGTCTGAGTTTGTGTGAAAGACTGAAAAGAGGAGGGGGGGGGGCAGGAAGGAGGAGGAAAAGTGCAGTGACAACCACCAAGGTGCTGTTTTTTTAATTGGGGGACAAAGTAAGGGCGGCTGTCTTACCGTCTCGCTGGAGGTTGGCCTTGCGCAGAGCCTTGAGGGATGCGCTCTGCGCGGTGGCCCCAGCGTCCCGCTGGCTGCAGAAGTTGGCGCACACCAGAGCGCAGAGGAGGATGAGCCGGTGCATTTGGGATGAGCGACCTGGGGACCGCGTGGCTGTCGGGAAAACACGCGGGTCCGCTGCTGGCCCGCCGCCGCCGCGCGCTCGCCCCGCCGCCCGGTTACACGCCGAGCCCGCTCCGAACTTCCTGCATGCTGAACTTTCCAGCGCGTGTGCGTGCCGCACTTCCTTGTGGCGCCGCGCTGATAAACGGGGACGGGACAAACAACAGGTTGACGTCGGGTCGCCCCCTCCGGTGGCCGGCCGCCGCAGCACAGCTGCAGAGGCGGCTGGCAGCGCCCCAGCCGCCGCGGGCCCCGGGGCTGCGCCGCGCTCCCACCCCGGAGCAGCCACCTCTGCATCCTGCGGGCCGAGGCCCCGGGACCTACTCCGCCACTGAGCATGCCCAGTGGCACAGCGGGCCAGGACTCGTCCGGCACCCTGGGTTTTGCTCTACTGGTGGGACCAGAAAGAGAGCAGGGAACCCGCTGGCCGGGAGCAGTGGGAGATGGGCGAAACCCAGCCCTCCCCGGGAGGTGCCCCGGCCTGGGTGGGGATGGGGCTTGGGAGGGGGTCTGGAGCTGAGCGCGTTTACTGTACCCCGAGGAGCCTCGGAGTCGACCGAGCCAAGGTTTCTCTGTACCTACCATGGAGAAAGGCAATCGCAAATGCCAAGGCCAAAGGAGCTGGTTCTGGGCTCTCCTTTGGGCTCTGGGCTGAGCCAAGGGTAATTTCTGAGAGAGAGAGAAGCTAGCATTTCTTGCTACTTCCCACAGCTGTAGCGGCCAACCGCCGGCGAGAGGATGAGTAGGATAAGGCCAATAATCAATAGCCGCGGGTGGTTTCCCTGTTCCACCCGCCACCCTGCACCGAGGGGCTTGAATGCCGGGCGGGGCGGGGTGTCCGGCCAGGTGAAGAAGTTGGGTGAGAACCGGGAGTTCCCTTACCTCCCCGTCCCACAGGAAGAGGGCAGCACTTTTAGGATCCTCCCTTCTCGCAGCAGAAGAGCCGGCCCTGCATTCCAGGACCTCTAGGCCTCTGTCGCCCCGGGACAAGGAGCTGCATCTGCAAAGAGGAGTGAGTCAATCCTGCTCTCGAGATGAGTCACTCTGGACACAACTCGGACCTCTTCAGACTCACTCTTTTTACTTAAGACCATTGACTTTAATTTGTATGGTCGCAGTGAGAAGTACGTGGAATAATTACATTGTTCGCCCTGTAGCTGAATCAAAATACAAACTCACATAATTTCTCTACTTCTTACCAATGGTATCTAGAAGGTAAAATTTCAGACCCCTTTTAAAGGCTTCGAGCTACTGAAAGTCCAGGATATAAAAGGCAAGTGGTATCTATCCACAGGCTGAACAGGCAGGGGGGTTCAGGAAAATATACCCTTGATAAGTTGATTATACACCCACCCTGAGTAGGACATGTGTTTCATCAACACACTAAAAAATTAATATGTCTCATCTCTACATAGAGCTCACAGACTAAAATTGCTTTATGAAATGCATATTTTGGGATCATAGAGTCAATTCCAATACCAGCACTATTTTCTGACTACAATGAAAACCACTAGCTTGGAAATTCAAGCATCAGAGTTCATTGACAGTAGTAAAATAGTTTCATGCGTATTGTTTCAGGTGCATGCACACACATGGCAAAATAAGAGAGTTCTGTAGTCTACAATGAAAATTTTGAGAAAAAAACCCACTGTAAAAAACAGATTCATCATATTGTTTCAAAACATTGCCAACTCCAAAGAGAGGCAGGAGAGGAAAATCTAGGTTTGTGTTTAATCCCTTATTCATTCAGCAAGTATTAATTAAGCATGAGTCTTTCCTTTTGTTCCTTTCTCTTAAAAAATCTTGAGGATAAAATAAGACAGAAGAGAGAAAGGTTCTTTTTGAGCGTTTCTTTACATTTTCATTAGCATCACTTGGTTATACAGGGGGATTTGTACTTGTCCGTAATGCTTACAGAGAACTTCAATGAGACTCGCCTCCATCATTCTCCTACACCCCCTCTCCTTATTCCCAAACATTCTCAACAAGCTTCATTATTCCACTTCCATATGTGTATAGGAAGAATTTTGATCATAATCTCCCTTTTCTCCCCCACTCCTACTAGTCCCTACCCAAGACAGAACTTAATTGCTTGAGGTTTACAGTCTACTAGAGACCACAGTAAATAAATGCATGACTATATTAGTAAGACAAGATAAGGCAGAGATAAATGGGGTAGGAGGAGTCAGTGTACAAGGTAATTGAAATATATGTTACCATTTTGAAGAAGTTTGCAAATGCTCATTACATTTTATACCTACCTTCTGAAACGTAACTATAAGAAAAAAATCAGACAATATGCACATCTTGGATAATTAGAACAGTGTCAAACTGTTAAAATTGTTTTCACTATCTTAATTCTTATATAAAATATTAAAGTAGTATTATTCAAGATATTAATACTGGGCACCCTCAAGGCATTGTGAATTCATGATATCAAATATTCAAACAGGGAATAATTAAAATATGTCACATATAATCAACATAGTATTGACCTTTAGTGTCAGGGAAATCCAAATTCAACAATAAAGTAAAATATCAGGCACCCGAGCCTAATTATTCTGTACTTTGTTTTCAATATTAATTAATAATACTTACAAAGTAGGTCAACTCTATCAGCTCATAATAGGCTTTTAAGAAAAATATATTGAGTGAGTTAAAGACCTAGTACAAAGACAGAAGGATTTTTTTCTGGTTTAGTTTTCATATGTATCTCTTACCAAAACATCGAGTTAGCCTCTTTATTTTAAATATTTATGGGTCAGTTAGAAGAACATGAACACAATATTATTACTATTTCATTTAATACAAATCAACTAGTGTTTATTTAACCACTTAGAGAACTTTAAAAAGTGCTATTGTTTAGAAAAATAAAAGAAGTGATAGCAATTATAGTAAGGTACACATATGAATGGCATTTATCCCAAACAAATATTTTGCAGTAAGGATTTGATAAAAGTGTATATTAGGGTATGAAACTTCCTTTATCACATTCTCTTTTCCTTATATTAATATAGTCCAAGAAAAGTGTATTTCATTACATTTTCATATAACCTTGACTTCTTTCACTACCTCAGCTTTCTCTCCAAGTGATTCACCCCAATATTATCATTATTATAATAATTATTATTATATTAATATTCTTTTTTCTTTTCTTTTTTTGTTGGTTGTAGGGCCTGGGCACTGCCCCTCAGCTCTTCAGCTCAAGGCCAGCACTCCACCACTTGAGCCATAGGGCCACTTCCAGTTTTCTAGTGGTTTATTGGAGATAAGAGTCTCATGGACTTTCCTGCCCCGGCTGGCTTTGAACCTTGATCCTCAGATCTCAGCCTCCTGACTAGCTAGGATTACAGGCATGAGCCACCGGCACCTGGCTCCAATATTAATTCTAAAGCTAAACTTGCACTAATCATTCACTTATATGTCTTGACAAACGATTGTCATTTCATGAAACCTGCTTCTTTCATTTCTCGCTGTTCATCTCTATGCAATATAGCTTAAGAAATAAGAGCACTGTGCAGGACTCCCTGACTAGACTACTATACTACTCTCCCACCAGACTACTGAGCTTGTTCAATGATGAACTTGTGTAGATTTTCAATCCTTCTCTATAAAATGGAGGCATTATATTAAATCTTCAGAATTCTGAATCGTTTTACTTTCAAAATCATGCCTTCCTTTAGTCATAATCTTCATCATGTACTACATGTATGATTTTTAAAATCAGAACCAAGTACATTTTAAATCATTGTTGGTTAGAAAGTCTGAGCATACATTTAAACAAAAGGTATTTTTGAAATCTCAGTCATCTAATATATAATGAAGTGGTCACTCAAATATCAGACTCCATCTAACACTTTGACTTTCATTTTTCTTTATTTTAAGAAAGCAATTCAGCAAGTATGCAAAAACCTAGGTAAGATGTCTTAATGGTATAAATAGATAAATTAAATATAATTAACCAAAGTGATGTAAACTTAGACAAAGAAAATTATAACTGATTCTTTAAGACAAAGCATCAACTGATTTAGGTCTAATCAATGACTTGGTTTCAAAGAATTGGATTAAATTTGGTTTGAAAATTAAGGGAAAGAATATATGAATATTCTGGATGCCAAATAATAAAACTGAATATTCATAAGGTGTCTGATTATTGTAACTTTTCTAAACACCTTCACAAGACTTGAAAGTCTTACAATACTGTCATTATTATGGAATATTTCATTGGATGTTTCTACAAAATACATTATTAAATTGTCTTATCCACAAACTGAATAGCAATTTTAATAACTCACCCAATGATTTTCTTTTAATAATCAGATACTCTTGTATTAAATCTTACATATTTTAATTGACTGCCTTAGCACATGTCACATTTATCCTTTTATTCCATTATTATTAATACTGCAATCCTACACAGCAATTTCAAATTCATCAAGCTATACTGTGACACAAATTTTGAGCAGCAACTTCTGATCATTTGGAATTGGTTACAGTTGAGACTATCAGCTTGGTCTTTTGACAAATAATTAGGCCCAATCAGCTAATCAGGTAGCAGTTCAGTAAATCATGAGTTTTCCATTCCTATCTTAGAATGAATCGATGATTCAGATGATTGAGTTCTAAGTTTACATTGTGTTAAAGAATATCTCTCTATATACTTTTTCTTCACTTGTATTTTTTGTTTCCATTTACCCATTCTTGAGCTGCATGATCTAAATTTGGGATTTCAAAGATGAATATGTTGCCTATTCTGCAGGGTTTCTTCCTTAATTGATCTGGGACATCAGCCAGTCTTCTTCAGAGTTCTGCAGTTTTATCTTTATAAGATTGGCCTATGGCCAGCCACTTTTACATTTCAAGTTCTTTTTTACCTCACCATTTTCTCAAACAAGAAATTGATATGCAGGTCTTTCACAATGTTCTTTTCTTTGAGGAAAGATTTTAATTCATTAAAGAAAATCTTGTCTTATATTTATATTCTTTGGAATTATACAATACATATTTATTCTCCTTTTTATTTGAGCTGATAGTGACTTTATAGTAAGACACTATTTAAAACTTGAGCGGGTATTTAGCCCATATTAATTTCTGATCCTTGAGTTCTCTCCAACGAATTCAACTCCTGTGATATTTCTCTTCTATCACTGAGTACCTTTATAGTTGGAG